TCACTTAGTGTTTAAAATAATTTTAGCACTTTTAATTAAGAATGAAAAATGCTTATAAAAATAACACTTTTGATTGCATTCTTTGCTATTAGTTAGGGGGGGTTTATGATCTTTAGTGAAAATTAATTATATGTTCAAATAAAATTTAAGGATAGATTTGATTGATTGAACGTAGTTAATTTTCATAATATGAGTTGCCAATACCACTAGAGCAAATTAATTTAGCATTTTGAGTGTTTAAATACATATTTTTAACTTTTATGTGCACTAGGTATCAATACCCCTTCAACGTGTATCGATACCCCCTTTGAATGTGTATCGATACCCCCATAAGAGGGTACCGATACCCCCATCGGGTTCTAGTCTTTAAATTCCTAAAAACTGCTTATTTTGTCAAAACCCTTAAAAAATACTCAAGCCCGCCGTTCATCTCTCTTTCACCCCTAATCTCTAATTTACCCAAAATCAAGGGTTTCAAGTCTGATTTCACTCATTTTTCAACTCCTAATCCTTCTAACATCATCAAAATCGTGCAAAAAACATCACATTCCTCTCAATCTGAAAATTTTCAAGGTATTTTCCTAAAACCACTAGTTTATTGATTTTTGAACTTAGGACTAGTTTTGATTAGTTCTAGGTTGAACTATATATCGGTCTTTGATTATATGATATTTCTAAACTAGATTCTACAACCAATTTTATCAAAAACACAAGATTTGATCAAAAACAATTTTAAATTTCGAAATAAAAAAATTATTTTGTTTTGATTTTAAAATTGTTGTTTTTTATTTAATTATGTTGTTTTGAAAACTACATATTGATTTTCAAACATTGTTTTCAAACATATTTTTCAAAATTTGCCCATTAGGATTATTTTAGAGAAACTTGAAATATTGATGACTCATTTGAGTTTTGGGATTGATTATATTGCATACATATGTTTCAAATTGCAGGTATCTACCCTATTCCGATTTCTTGAACCATGTCTCAAAAACATCATAGGTCATCCTCTAGTCGTTCAAACCGACCACCAAACCCACCTCCAAATCCACCTTCTATTCAACAAATTCCTAATTCCAATGATCCTGAAATAACTATTCAAAACTCATGCTTTAATGAACCTAGCCGTAGGGATAATCTTTACCATAGGTTTGACTATCTCTTCAAGTCGTATAAAATTCGGAAGAGCGTATTCCTTCTCTTCGAACTATGGTAGAAATGAACTTTAGATATCTTTTTACCTTACAAGCTTGGAAATTTGATAAACTTTTTCAACTCGAACCTATTGTTTACCAACAACTTGTTTGAATATTCTATTCAAATGTTGTTTGTATCCAAAACCAAACTAAAATCGAAACAATAGGAATTCAATCCTATCTTCTAGGTCAATTCATTTATATTGACTCGGACTACATTGCTAACGCATTTGGTTTAGATAATATCGATTTAGATAATGAAAAATAAGCAGTAGGTACCCCTTACAAGGTCAAGTCTAGTGTGAGTGTGTTAGATCACATGATCGTTTTCTCCATATGTGATTTCTTGGTAGTTTAGACCACTCGGAGTCAAATACTCCACTTTTAGAGCTTTAGACCTTTGGTGGATACATTATATCCAAAATAATAAGAAAATAAACCTACCTCAAGTTATCTTTTCCGAACTCGTTGAAATCGTAAACCTTGTCCCTAATAAAAAGATTTGTGAAACTCTAGTTTACGGTTGTCTTCTGAGCAACTTGTTTATCAAAGCCCAGCTTAGAGTACGACTTGATGCAACCATCCATCTCTAAAACGAAATCAATCTGAAATCTTTAAAGAAATCGGGATGGAAGAAGGAAAATGATTAATGGGTTTGATCCCCTGAGAAAACACATGGAGCTAGTTCTTCACAAGCTCCACCTGCACCGACACCAGTTGCGGACGATGATCCAGAGCTTCAACAACTTATGCAAGATATCGAAGACGAGTCGACACAACAAGAAAATCAAATACCTCCATACTTCCAATCGTTTATGGAAACATTGGATATGAGGTTTGCATCTTTAGAGTCCCACTTGACTACTATGGGGACTCAACATTTTGAGAATCAACAAGAGATTCGAGCTACCCGTGAAGCAATGAATAATCGATTCAATGTTGTGGATGATAGACTCGATGCGCTTACACGAGATATGGCTAATATATGGGCACATCTATCTCCTCCCGATCCTCCTACAGATGCTTGAACTTCACTTGCTAGTTTTCTTAGGTTGAATCAAAATGGATCCTAACATTGTTTTTAAAACATTTTGCTTATTTTTGTTTTGGATTTTGAATGTTTGAAGTGTTTGTTTGGATGTTTATTTTGGTTTGAATGATATTTGAATGGTTATTAGTTATTTGAGCTTCAATTTAATTTTTATATTTTGCATCATTTAGACACATATGACCAATTACCATTACACGTTGTTTATGAATATTGATTATGGACTAATGGCTAATCTTCTCTTGACTTTGATCTTAGCAGCTTACGTTATATCTAAATATCAATTGGCTTAAATTTTAAATTCTTGTTTAAAATCATTTTCTAGAGTCTTTTTTATTTAACAAAAAGTGGCAGAAGTATTATAGTAAGGGGAGTAATTTTTCAAAATTGATTTCAAAAATGATTTTTGAAAGAAAATCATAAAATTGCTAAAATGTTTTTTTATATCAAAAAGGGGGAGATTGTTGAAAACATTTTGATGTTTCGATATAACAAATTAAATGTTATTTGATTTTAAGATTTTATAATCATTTTTAAAGTATATTCGATTAAATTATTCGAATATCAAAATATTACTCCAAGTTTTCAAAGGTAAATTTCAAACCTTACTTAAGTGTAAAATTGTGTTTTAATCTTAAAATATTTCTAAAACAAATTTTACAAAGTATTTCGAACCTTAATCGAGCCAAAAATAATTTTTAAATAGAAGGGCTTCGAGAAAAATAAATTGCCTAGTGGGTACCGATACCCCTATGTAAGTTTTGGCTCCGAGAAAAACAAACTGTCCTATGAGTACCGATACCGCCTTATGGGTACCGATACCCCTAATCATTTAACGATCGAAATATTTAAATTTTATACTGCAGGTACCGATACCCATTGACGATGTACCGATACCCCATGCTCCCAGCAGCCTTTTTCAAGAGGGTTTTCCCACTACAATGGCTCTAACATCACCCAAATGATTCACAACGGCTAGAATCAATCCAAGGTGTATTTAAACAAGTTCTGAAGCCATTGATCAATAAGAATTCATTGAGAAACAAGAGAGAAACATAAACATCAATTTTGTGCATTTCAAGCTAATTTTCCTTCAATATTCATTTTGCTTTCAAGAACACATATTGTGCTCATTTGTAATTATCTTTGAGTGCTCTTTTCTTGTTCTAGAATTGTGCAAACACATTGCATTGTGAGCTTTTTTCTGTAAGTTTGAAAAATTTGTATTGTTCTCTTTGGGAGAGAGTGTTCTCAAGAATTTGGGGTATAATTCTTGAGGAATTTGTAAGGTTACTCTTTGTCCTCAAAAGAAAGACAAATTAGTGAATTTGTGAAAAATCCTTAGTGTGGATAGCTAAGGTAGTGGACATAGACTTTGGTTGAGAAAGTCAAACCACTCTAAATCGATGTTCAATTATTTTCTATTTTCTGCAAAAACTTCCACCAAAATTTTTATTACCAATTCACCCCTCTTGGCTATTCGTCGATCGATTAACTCAACAGCAACATATATAGTTGCGAGTTCAAGTACCCCCCCGAAAGATGCATATTTGCCACTTATTGTCTCTGAAAAATGGTCTCCCAATCCGCAATTACACAGGAAATTGAGGGGCCATCTTGAATCAATTCAAATTCATACTGATATGGATGACCCTCAAAGAGAGCAAGGTATTCCGAAGCTATGTGGCCACTGCAGAGGTGAAGGCCACAATAGGAAGTATTGTCCACATCTCCCAGGATATCGACCAGGCCGATAAATCTTTTGTAATCGTATTTGTACTGATTTTACAAATATCAATGATAATTTTTCTTTTTTTTACGTTTCATATATAATTGCAAAGTATAACACTTAACTAAAGTCAAATTCCTACATTTATTTAATACATTTTCTTAACAAAATAAACATATTTTCCTCTTAATTTTTACATTATTTTTCTTATTCGCATTCCTTTCGATGAATCGTTTGTTGTGTCGGCTTGCTAACTCTTCATTCTTCTTCTTCTTCTTCTCCATCTCATCCTCCTCATTTTTCTCTTCCTCCTCCCTCTTCAACTTCTTATGTTGATCGAGAATAAACTTTATTGATTCTTTCACCCACTCCTAATTTGAAGACGAGCTTGAATCCGAATCATCTGAAAAGTAATCAGACCAAAGATGATCTTCCAAAAATTGCTTAAAATATTCTTCCCACAAGTACATTTTTACTTCTCCTATAACTCTATCAACTAGCCCAACTCCCTTTTATAGTTAAAATTTTAGGAAATGAACGTTGAAACTCGTCAACGACTATTTTTCAAATCTAAAACGGCTATAAAATTTTAAACCTAAGGAACTCGTGACAAGTTCCATGTATTTTTTTAAAAAAAAATAAATTCACTTAATAATCTTTAAAAAATATTTTTTTTAATAAAACTCATCACCTCGAAGTAACGAGTTGTAAAAGAAATATTAAAATATTAGGCCCGAAATAAAAAAAAATTATATCCCATGGAGGTGACGAGTTCCCCTGCTGTAGACAATACCATAGATCTCAAAATAATTTTTAAGGTACCTTATTGGGTTAAATAATCCGCCCACATGCCGCATTAGGCCAAGAAAAACCTTGATTTTTACCTTGTCTTATGCCACAAATATTTCAAACTTATCTTGCTAACCAACCCACCATTCTATGAAATTTAATAAAACCAAAGTATGACTGCCTGCCTTATGGCTGTTCGTTTCAGCCGGTCCAATCAAAAGCCATAGAAAACCCAAACTAAAGGAATGTCTTGTAGATTAGTAGCTAGGCGAAGTTATAAGGGAAAAGTGTTTTTCCAATAGCAAAACAAAGGTCAAAAAAAAAAAAAACTCACGGCCAAACAAAACACAGAAAAATAGGATATATAGGCCACACCATTTAATTTCTCACGATTAAAAATCCCACAAATTGCTACACAGCACATTAGTTATATAGACACTTCCCAGGAAGCTAGTTGGGGGAGGGGGTCCACAACCCTATCATTAGGGTACAAACCCAACATCCTTCAAGTATTCATGCTGAAGAGCACTTCTTGCCGTAATTCTTTTGCTGGGATCCATGCACAGCATTTTCTGGATGATAATAGACAACGCATAATCAGTTCAAATTGCAGAGAAGTCATATATGGCTATTACTTTCTGTCTTATTCCAAAACCATTATCCAAATGGTGGCATTTCAAAGACCATCAAAACTTACTCCATTTCAAGAAAGACGACTTTTTCTAAAATTTACGAAGATGAGCTACGGTTACGATGATAATCACCAACATACATAGAATTGAGATAATAGTTCAAAGTCATTCATGTCTACACTAAAGCTTAAGAAAGCATAAATCAGCTAAACATTCTCAAATTATCTTAAGTAATTGCCATGTAGCTTTTGCCCACAACTATGAGAACTGTGAAAGATGTTTTATCTTAAGGTTCATTTGTTTTACGGAAAACAGATTCCAAAAAATGATTTCCGTAAAATGAATTACATTTTCTTGAAAACAAAATTTTTGGAGATCATTTTACGGTGTTTGGATGAAGTTGTGTAAACCATTTTCCATTGGTTCATAATTTTTCAGAAATTATTTATTTTAAATATTGAATATAATAAATAATATTATTTATTAGAAATATTAATATTATTATTTTACATATATTAAAATAATTTATTTAATTTTATTTATGTCAATATTATTATTAAAATGTTTTTAAAATTTTATAAATAAAAATATTAAGAATATTATATTTTATCAAATACAAATATTATAAATTATATTATTAAAGTATTATAAAATATAATATTATATCATTAAAATTATTAATAAATATATGTTAATAATTAATATTTTTATTAAAATGGTATTAAATTAATATATTAATATTAAATACATAAAATAATATTGTTTTGATTGTTTATGTTTTAAAATGAAAAGTTCGAAAAAAAGACTTTACGGAAAATCAGATGGTAAGCCATTTTCCAAAAATGCAAAGGTTGACCAGGAAAATGAATTACATTGAACATCTATTTTTCGCCAACCAAACAACAGAAAGTGAGGAAAACAATTTCCAGAAAACCAATTACAAAAATACAAAGAAACAAAGCAACTCTTAAATAAATGCCACTTTGATGTACTTGCTAGTTCACATGGAAAGGTGAAGCAGCAAAAAAAAAAATACAAAACAAAACAACACTTACAGAAAGAAGGTCAATGCCACTGGATTCAAGATTTGGAACAACAGTTGCCAAATCCTGCAAGTAAAAGGTGAATCAATCAGTTCACACAATTTTCTCACTAATGGGTTCACAACAAAACATGCAGCCTCTAGATTGCACAAACAAAATTTTACCTGAAACGGCCACTTCGGAAAAGCAGACTTAAAATCAGGCAATGAAGTCACTCCAGGCCATGTATCCTCATTTGGAGTACCCAAGATTCTTCACAGAATATTATACATAATAATAATAACAGATCAGTCTAAAATGAATGCACAAGATTTTGGGAGTGAATTTGCATTGATATTTTCCTACAAGCTACATTTAGAAGGCAATTCTTTTATGTTGAACGACCTAAAAGTGCCCCGTTTTCTTTGAACATACATGTATGAAGGATTCTGTGGGAATATGGACCACTTAAATACTGATAAAGAGCCCTGATAGGTCCATTCCCAAGGAGGAAACTAAAAACAAGAAATAAATCCAGTTGTCAAAATAAGAATTTCTGACAGGATCCATGTTTTCTAATGCCAAATAATACTTATTCGAAACAGGTATTCATGGTTATGACTAACGGCAATGCATTGTCTTCTGCAGGTTAAGAACAAGGCATGGAATGTCAGAAGAGTAACTGTAAGACATGTTCAAAAGGGTACTATAAAATTTGGCTGTACCACCTTTCAAGATTTTGAACCTAAACAAAAGAATTCATGATTAGGTAACCCAACTTCCATTCCATCAAGCATTTTGCGCCACTGACTAGTTGAAATGCTGGTGTGGCAATATTTACCAATAAAAATGTGTCATGTGTTATTTTTCCTTAATCTTTTAACAAAAAAATCAAAAGATGAAAAAAAAAATTGATGTAAAAATTTAAAGAGAAAATTCAAAAGAAAAGAAGATAAATGGAGTATATGAATAAGTCATACTATAATATTAGAAACGACGCATGCAAATAAAACCCGTTCTTCTGAAAACATTCCTAGTTGTCGCATTGTCAAGATTGAGCAACCAACACTGCTCAAAGACTGGCTTATGCAAAACTTCTCATAAATTGAAGTATAAAGGAACTGGAGAGAACATATAGGTGGTGGTTAGTTGACCAAGTACATTGAATATTTCACGTTATCAATGTTATCAAGGACACCAGGCACACTTAAGGTGCAAAGTCCTACATGACCCAAGGCTCAAAAAAAGGGCTCACATGAATGATACAAATACTTAAATAATCAAGACTACCAAAATTAAACTAAAAGAGTTTGTCTAGCCTAAGTGTTTATGCGGACATTGGACAAAATGACAAAAATATTTAAATAATAAATTTTCCCAATATATGAAGAGCAGAAGGACCAAGTAAGAATAATATAAAAGAACAAAAAATTAGAAACTTAACCTTGCTGAACCAAAACACACACAAACAATTATTTGTTTTTGGGGGGGGGGGTGTTCAAGCACTATGCGAACGAATTATGAATTTAAGAACAGCCTGTTTCATTTCAGATTCATAATTAAACAATATCCTAAATCAATTTTTGAATGACATAAATCTTCCTTCAAGTTTATCTGAGCAAAGACTTTTAGAGAAAGAACTAAAGGTGAAAAAGAAAGATAAAAAATAACTAAAATCGGAAATAAAAAACTTTACCAATTCAACAAATGAAACTAAAATAAAATGAATCTACAACTGTGGTGAGCTCAAGGAGGATACAACACCTGAAGATCTTGAATAGTTCATCAATCTCAGAATCCCCAGGAAATAATGGCCGTTGGTTCACCATCTCAGCAAAAATGCAGCCCACGGACCACACATCAACAGGAGTCGAATAATGGCGTGATCCAAGCAGTATTTCGGGTGCTCTGTACCACAGGGTAACAACCTAGAGATAACGACAACCTTAGAAGCCAAGATAATATTGGTATGCTTATGTACTGAAAATATTGATCTTCTAAACATTACAACATATCCAAATAAAAACCAATTCACTGATGCTCTAAAGGGACCTAAAGTTGCATTTAAGACCCCAAGTAACAATAATCCTAAATTAATGCTTCCAAAATAGAAACGAAATAATTTTATCCTACAAAAAATGCAAAGCAAACTGAAGTTTCTTTGTTCCAACTTGTAATTGTTCTGTATAGAAAGAGGATGAAACATTATTTTCAAGAGTTTATCAAACATAAATGTCTAGAAAAGGATAACAACCATTAACCATATGACATTGAACAGCCAAAACCTCAAACATGATGATTTTTGATACCTCATGCGTAAATGTTCTAACAGGAATACCAAATGCTCGGGCCAGACCAAAATCAGCAAGCTTCAGTGCATTGGTACCGCGATCTATAAGCAAATTTTGCGGTTTTAGATCTCGGTGAAGAACCCTATGAGAATGACAATAAGCAATTCCACGGAGAATTTGATAAAGGAAGGTCTGCAAGATGATCAAATAACAAATTACTATAATGAGTAATATAATCATCACTCAAATCCATTAGAGAACCAAGGTCAAACAATGACCGACGATAGTTAGGTATTTATGCATTCAGAACAAGACCCTAACCTAGAATAAAGACGGGTTTCAAGCATCACCATATTTCTACTTGGTTTTTGTCCACCACATGAGGGTGCAAGACCAAAGATGGCAAGATTAAAAAGGTCCCTCAAAGCTCCTTGTAAGCTGGTATTTTCAAATGTTATACACAATCTGTCATTGGCATAAGTTTATGGAATTATTCTTCAGTTTATTGAATTATTCTCCAATTTTGATCTGAATGGAGTGCAGGATTGAAGGGTTGGAGAAGACTATGGAAGACGTCCAAGGGAAAATCGTCCAAGTGAAGGATTTCATGTGTTGGTTACAAGCTTGGATGAAAAAAGAGATGAAATAGATACTGAAATCATTCGACAGGTGAAAGGCAAATCAACAGTTCTCACAGATCCTCCTATGGTGTCTTAAGCAGTGGCTGAAACCACTGCTGGCCAAGGCCGTGCAGGTCATTTGTAGGCTTTCCAGCTTTGAGATGAGACTCGTCAGTTTTTTTTTTCTGGTGACAATCCGTACGGGTGGCTTAATCAAGCAAAACGATTTTTTCACTACAAGGTATTGGTGACAAGGATAAATTAGAGGCTGCTGCCGTGTGCTTTGACGGCAAAGCCTTGAATTGGTTTCAAGGGTGAGAAGCTAGAACACCAGTTGTCACATGGTATGTATTTCAGGTGGCTTTCGTTCAGAGTTTTACACCATCACAGTAGAAGGAACTTGTATGAAGTTTTATTAAGGTTGCAGCAAAGTGGAAGCATTGCACAATATAGAGAGGATTTTGAATTGCTCTCTGCACCCTTGAAAGATGCAGATGAGGTTTTAACAGGGATTTTTTAATCAATGTTTGCGATAGTAAAATTAAGGCAAAATTGTTTCTCAGTAGATTGGGTTTTCTCGGCCAGATTATGGATCAAAGTGAATGCATCGACTAAAAGAATTGGGTACTCAGTCTGCAAGGGAGTGGAGTTCTGGATAGATGGTTTGCAAATCATACAAGATTATTTTCAGTTTAACTTGGGCAATGCTGATGTTGACTTAGGATTGGATTGGCTGGAAACTTTAGGAGATATTGAAGCCAACTTCAAAAACCTTTACACTGAAGTTCCAAAAAAAAGGCAAACAAAGAGTATTAAAGGTGATCCTTCATTGTCCAAATCAGTGGCTTCACTTAAAACCTTGTTCAAAGGACTGCAAGAAGATGGAGAAAGGTATTCTGTTGAACTGGCTAAATTGAATGCAAAGGTAGGCTCAGATAATTCTGTTTTGCAGCAGTCACTAGTAGAATTTGGGAATTTATTTGAGGAACCAAAAGGGCAGCCACCAAGTCATGATCATGCATCGAAAATACTTGGGAAACCTATGCAGACATTTCTCTTCTTTTCACCTTGAGGACATAGTGAAATTCCTTGGGCCGGGTATTGTTAGGTCTGCAGTTATTAATATAAGATTTGGTACACTGTGTTTGTTTGTTTTTTATTAAGCATTGATGGTCTCTAGTAGTTACCATCTGTTTTAATTTATGTTGTTAATTGTGATATCTAGCAGTTACTAACGGTTATTTTGGTGGATTATTTGTACCAGAAAGAAGGAAAAACATGGGAGGTTTTTGGCTGGTCAATCCTTGGTTAGTTTTGAGAGGAAAAAAGTCACTCAAAGTACCTACAAGGATGGTATTTTTTAATGTTATATGTAATCTGCTATTGGCAGTAAGTTTATTGAATTATTCTCCAGTTTTCTAACACTGTTGAAGTCCAAAGTGGAAAATTTTGAAAGTAAAACCCTTCAAACAGAAGAATAATCTGACTCACTTTAATCATTCGTGGATCTTTCCCAAACTCTGGACATGAATCCATGTGCTTCTTTAAATCCAAGTCCAGATATTCAAAGACCAAATATAAACGCTTCTCACTGTGCACTACATCCTGCAGCCTGTCACCAAAAGAGCAGTCAGAGAAGAAAAACAGCTACAGGTAATATACACAAAAGAAAAGAACTTAAATCCAAAACATGACCAGAATATATCATGGTATCAAAATTTGATATCTAAAACAGGCAATTCATGGGCTTGACTAACCAACCTACTTTAACTTGCTTCCATGAAGAAAGTAGAGCAATATCACCCACTTACCGAAAAATATGATTTTGTCTGTTTTCTAATTATTATGCAGTTACCATTTACCCTTCCTTATGCACTCGGCGCAACATGTAGGTTTCCTATAACTTATTCACACTTCATGTTATATTCAAGTAGCATCCATATTAAAAAAACGTAAAATTCTTTGGTAAGCTTGACAAACATGACTAGATAGCAATGACACAGATTTCTGTTGTCTAAAAAAATGTATAGCAGAAGCAAAAAGTGAAATCAGTGTAATTGTGCAAACTAACTAGTGGTGAAACAGCAATGTGATTATATGCTGAGTCCTGCAGTGAAGTGCATTGCCTACCTAACGATATTTCCATGTTGCATTTCCTTCAAGAGCGAGATTTCTCTAATTGCAGTGCTAGGTACACCTTCGTCTTCCTGCTCTAAGCGAATCTTCTTCAAAGCAATTGTTTCATTGGTAACACGGTCACGAGCCTTGTAGACAACGCCATAGGTTCCTTCACCAATCTTCTCTACTTTCTCGTACTGGGAATCGCAAGGGGGGAGCATAAGGGAGCAAAAAAAAAAAAGGAAATTGAACTAAAATGAAATGACAGATCTAATTCGATTACCTGGTCCATGTGCAGCCCCACCAGAAGTGAATAATAAAATAAGCTAGAACGAAGAGAAAAAGGAAAACAGTTACTCATATCAAACAAGAATCTAAGAAATATGAATTCATTGTAATCTTTGAGAAGCTTTTATGGCGGGGAATTGAAGTCAGAGTGGATGCAGGAAGCCGAACCGTGGAAATGAATTAGGGAAGCAAGCAAATGAATGAGAATCCACCCAATACAAAAAAAAAAAATCAATAAAAATAAAACCCAAAAGTGAGAGAAGAGAGGTACCTGAAATGATAGACGGATTTGTTTGTGAGCGAGTGAGTGAGTTGAGGAGCAGAGAGACGAGCTGTTTCTCTTACTTCTATTTAAGTATTAAAGTAAAGATGTTGCTCTCAAGCGAGAACCCTAAAACCGAGAGACCAGTTGTGACCCATTTTGAGTTGACTTCCCTTAGTCATCCGCCTCTCTCCAATATATTCTTTCGGATAAACTACATCAATGGTCAATAAAGTTTGGGCACATTTTCGTTTTCACCACTAAAGTGAAAAACTTATAAAATAATAACTGATGTTTCAAAAAGTAATATATTGATCCCTCAATCGTTATTAGTTATTATCCCGACACAAAAGTCTAATGTAACACATATAGACTGTTTAGTCATGTTAGATCATGAGTTGACCCATCATTTAGTAGACAAACATAAGTTTAGACATTTCTTGAAATTTCAAACCTAACTTCAAATAAGAAACAAAAAAAATGAGCACAAAACTGGACAGAAAATAACCAACTATGACAGGCATGACCAAAATGCCATTATATAATACTGGACACCTAACTCGGTTAGCTAATCTTTGGACTAACGACAACTATAGAAGAAGATTTGTTGTTTGTCGAAATTGTGGAAAAAAGTGATTCAAACTTTGTTATTTCTTTTTTGTTTGGATTATAACACCTTAAACCATACTCATAATATAAGATGGGCATAAGATATCATATTAGGCTATCAAAACCACCTCCTAGTTTAAAATCTTTAAAATTTTCGTCAAATATGCACAATATTTTCTGAAGCACAAATAGAGTAAAAATATTTATACAAAATTGGAGCTTCAAATATGATATAATGTAAATTAAAAAAAAATCAAAATTGTTGAATTAATCGAACCAATGAAATGACCAATGGGGGTAAATTAGTAATTAAAAAATTGATGGAAGCTTTTAGCAAGAAAATGAAAAATAGACGCAATTTTAGAGTGGTTCAACTTTCTCAAAGAAGTCTACAACCACTACCTTAGCTTCCACACTAAGGATTTCAACAAATTCACTAATTTGTTCAAACCTTTTAGGACAAGGTATAACCTTACAACACACTTAGATGCATACCCCCAAAGTCTTAAGTGTACAATATTCCCAAGAAGGAATTACAAATAACAAACTTTGAAAAATCCCTTATAAGGAGTCGTTTGCATAATACATAACAAATAGAACACTTGAAAGAATAAAATCAAAGTACCCCAAGTGTTCTTGAAAGCAAAAAGAATATACAAGAATGATGACTTTAATGTGATTATTTTGACTTTATTTGTGAGCTCTTTATCTTCACATATGACTTGCATTCTTGTTTCTATACCCCTTTATTCAATTCTAGTTGTTTAGGTAGTTGTGGGAGTTAATAGAGCCATTGGGAGAAGTTCTCTCGCAATAAATGCTGCCCAGACACCTTGAGTATTAATACTCGTTCTTAGAGTATCAATACTACCTGCATTAAATACAAAAATATAGCCGTTGGGAAGGGAGTATCGATACTAATCGAAGGAGTATCGGTACCAAAATGGTATACTATAATTTGACATTCTCAAAAACACAAGGGCAATATTAATACTACCATTTAGAGTATCGATACTGGTATCGGTACTGAAGGAGTATCTATACCATAATAGCTTACTAGAACTTACACAACAAGGAGAGTATCAGTACTGCTATAAGTAGTATCAGTGGTGTTGTGTATTTTTAAGCTATAAGCATTGATACCATGTCAACACCACATGAACAATATCAATACTGCTAAGTTTAAAAATAATTTTTGACTATAATAAAGTTTGATACCTATTAACCCAATAAAAAGGGTACATATCATGTCTTTTTACTTAAGTTATTGTTTGATTTTAGGTTCATTTAGTTGCACATAGTTGCATAATTCATGCATGTGATGGAGTTTTATTATTGAGCTTAATTTCTTGATAAAATGGTAATGCTATATGAGAAGGGTAGTGTTTCGGCGTCATGTTGTGTAGAACCAGGAAAACTATAGGGGGATGAAGAATTGCTACAGTATTTTGGACGCATTTCTGGGAGCACAAAAGGACAAAATGAAGATATTTGTTTGGCCTTACCCTTGAACCCTTCAGCCAGTTGTGCCCTACACGTGAAGAGAATCCTTTCCCTAGGGTACACAAAGAATTAAGTGCACAAAACCCTAGGAGCCCCCTCTATGTAAAGCAAATTGACACCCACATTTAAGGCAAAATAGATTTTAGATAGAGAGAGAAAAACCCTTTTTCTTCTCTATTTTTTCTTGGTGACCTCCATTGTTGAAGTTCCAAGGGGAAATCGAGCTAGACTTTGAGAGAAGCCAGTAAAGCATCTTAGAGATGGAGCTCTTTGATGTATGACTTCACGGGGTCTTTTCCTTCATCGTTTGGAGATCTCTATATCTTGCTAACAATGGATTATGTGTCCAAATAGGTTGAGACAGTGGCTATACCAAGGAATGACTCCAAGACCATCATGAATTTCCTCCACAAGAACATCTTCACAAGGTTTGGAGTCTCAATCATAAGTTATGAATAAACCTATTTCGACAACAAGTTAATTGCTATAGCATTTTAGAGATACGGGGTAAGACATAAGATTGCTATAGGATATCACCATCAGACAAATGACCAAGCTGAGATATCCACTCGAGAGATCAAACAAATATTGGAAAAGTTGGTTAACCCCAAGAGAAAGGACTAGTCACCAAGGTTAGATGAGGCCTTATAGGCATACTGTACAGTCTTAAAGACACCCCTTAGAATGTTTCATTTCAAACTTGTTTTTGGCAAGACATGTCATCTCCTGGTCAAGTTAGAACACAAGGCATATTGGGTCATAAAAAACTCAACATGGATGCTCAGTTGGTTGGAGAGAGAAGGTTGTTATGTAATACACCAACATTTTGGTTAGTGACCAAAATGTAAAATTTTAAATTTTAATTAAAAGTTTATAAAAATTTGAAGGATGGTAGTATGAGATTAGTAATATTATTATGATATTTTTAGTCAGTGGAATTTAATATGGAACAGTGGAATTGATTTGATTTTCCATGTTAAAGTGGGATAGTTCAATTAAAGTGACTAAATTGAGATTTTTAGAAAAGTGCAAAGGCAAAGATAGAAATCAATAAATATGATTTTTATATTCATTTTATGATGTAATAAAGGTGATGAAAGAATGACAAGGTGGTAAATATTAAGATTTAGTAAGGGTAGATATGACTTTTAGGATTAAAATGAATTATAAATTCATTTTAATTAGATAAAATATGTGTCTAAGGATATTTTTATAGAATTTTCATGAAATTTTCTCTTATTCTTCCTCCAAGTGCTATAAGTTTCATAGCCTAGGTGAGCAAGCTTTCTTTTTCATTTTTGATCCATTTTATTAAGATTTTGGACTAAGGTGAAATAGGAAAAATATCCTACATGAAATTCTCTTTCATCTGGTATAAGTATTTCATTGTATTCATGTTTAAAGTGTTGAATTGGTGATTATGGTGGAGGAAGGGGAAGTTGGAATTTATTGAAATATGGTTAGATTATGATGATAGGAGTGTTGTTGGATCATATGCAAGCATGAAAATGGATTAAAAATCAATAAAAGACCTTGTAGGAGCATTCAACCACCATGGATATTCTTGAGAAAATGTTGAATTTGATTAGTTTTTGATATGGAAATGATTGGAATTAAATGGAAATGATGCGTAGATGATGAATTCATGCTTGAATCAAATTAGAGATAATTAAAACATGACTCCCTATTATTCAGCCATGGAGGAATATTTTTTGGAATAATTTACAAAAAATTTCCTAAGGGCTTATAATGGATATAATAATGATTCTATATGCTTGGAATTATGTTTTGGACTAATTTGGAACTTTGCTAAGTTGTTAAGACCTTTTCGCATGGTTTGAAGAATTATATGATTAATATGCAAATGTTAGAAAGTTAATACTATGCTGAAAATTATGGTTAGAATGCTAAAATATTGAATTGGATTGATTTGGAAAGTTGTATAAGATAAGGGGAAAATTAGCAAGTATTGGTAAAGTTGATGGTGAAATGACAAAAGTATAATGTTGAGGTACTAGTTTGAAAGAATTGTTAGAATGGAGGAATATGGTGATAGTATTGAATTTGAGTGGAATAGTAAAGGTCCATTTTGGATTTTTTTGAAATAATGGAATGATTTTTAAAAAAATGTTAATTGGTGACTAAATGTGGAAGTTTAGAAAGTTAAGAGAATTATGGTGATGAATGATTATTAGAGGGACTTGAAAAGTGTATTGAAAGAAATAAGGTTAGCTTCGATTAAGTGAAAGAAAATTAGTATCGATTATGCATTAATTTCATCTTTAGAAATTTTATACGAGTACATGTTTATATTGTGAGTTAAAATCCTAACGTATGTTTGAAATTTTGTATGTTGGATCAACGATGTTCTTGTAAATCATGATTGAAACCAAGCCCAAAGTGAATTAAAAGAAAAAGGATAAAATTAGAGGGTGAAAATAGTAGTAGCAATAAAGTTTCTTAGTGAGGCGTTAGGTGAATGCAATTATACTTATTATTAAATATAATATGAGGAAGACATGCAATGAGTCAACCTCGATCTATTTGAAAAGAAAAAGGTTTTAAAATCATAATTTTGAGTAAAAATATTTTATTATTGTTTTACTACATAATATATGAATATTTTGGGTATGAACTGCCCGGTACATATTTTATTTATGAGACTTTGACATATTATTTTTTTATGAATGATTTTATATGTGAAATAGTATATGATTTCAATAAAAGCCCATTGTATGCGACTTGAGAGTTAGTGGTACAATTGACATGCCATGAGGTGGAGTGTTATTAATCGATCATACATGGATACATTCTTGTACGATATAGTTATCAGATACATTTATATATTCGGGATAATAGGTATAGTGTTGTTGTGTTCTACAGTACTTGTACATTTACAGGGCACTTGTGGTGCAATTATAGGACGTTAAATGTGCAATATAGTTACAGGCAATTATACTGCATACAACATAGAACACTGAAATATAGACTTGCGTACCATATATATTCTCATGATAATACAGTGGATAATGATATGAATTGACATAGAATAGTACAA